ATAACCCTAAACCTAGCCCTAACCCTATAACCCTAAACCTAGCCCTAACCCTAACCCTAGAAATGACTCTTTTTTAAGAATGGAAGGATCAATTTCGAACAAGGGGGTGGTCGGTGAGATAGGACGAAATGGCGGAATGGGAAACTGGCGAAACGGGAAACTGGCGAAATGGGAAACTGGCGAAGTGGGAAACTGGCGAAATGGGAAAATGGCGAAGTTGGAAATGGCGAAATGGCAAATGGCGAAGTGGGAATTTTTAATGGCGAAGTGGGAAAATGGCGGAATGGGAATAAACCGTGGAGACAGCGCGAACATGCGCCGTGCGCAATGTAATAGTGTGTTGTGTTGTATGCTGGGTGGCGGCAGTGGTTGTGGCCGTGGTGGCGGCAGTGGTTGTGACCGTGGTGGCGGCGGTGGTTGTGGCCGTGGTGGCGGCAGTGGTTGTGGCCGTGGTGGCGGCGGTGGTTGTGGCCGTGGTGGCGGCAGTGGTTGTGACCGTGGTGGCGGCGGTGGTTGTGGCCGTGGTGGCGGCAGTGGTTGTGGCCGTGGTAGCGGCGGTGGTTGTGGCCGTGGTGGCGGGGGGGGGGGTATCTCGGGGTAAACACAATAACGCGTGACTTGCTAACAATATGAGTTTCCGCAGCTTCGTACGCGCTTGTTCGTAACCCACACAGGATTGCCACGAACTAATTAATAGTCAGCAATAAATACCATGACATACTATACATTAAACTCCGCCACATGCACATTCATGTATCTACGCATACTTCATGCACGCTGTTATCTATATACTATCATTATTATTAGTAATTTCTTTCCATAAATGTGAGCACCCACCCTCACACAAGACACCTCTACCGCTGTACAAAGACTAATCTGCAGATCTGCTAACTGTAAGCTCAGCTCGGCTGACATTGCCACACACCTCACTTTCTATATGCTTACGTTCTATACGGGTAAGGTTTATAGACTATATAGACTATATATTGACTTCTAGAATATGTAGGTCGAATGCAAAGCAGACAGCCCCAGTGAAGGGAAGCCCAGATCACCCAACTCCCAGAAAATATATCCGGCTGTTTACACAATAAGCGTTCGTGAACGTTCATGAATCGCTTTATTTCACCGCAGGGGTTGCAGCTGGCCATGTGTTATGTATTGTTTAGCACTTGTGAGTGAAGCCCTACGTGCATAATTAAGACTGGACTTCAAAAAGCACTCTGACTCATTTATCTTTTTTTCTTCTCATGGTGTTGCGGTGAAAAACGTTGCCGCTGTCGGTTTGTGTTTTGAGGCTGTTTATCTGCACGCAACCGTGTTTTCTCATAGCAAAAACCAAGGGGCCTGAAATGGGAAACGGCATTCAACCGTGATATTAAATCAAACTGAAATAACGAGGTAGAGCGTTGGAAACAGGAACGCGTACGAATGGTTACTGAATTTTTATCAACAACACACGGTGTTGTCCGTGTCATTCTATCAAGCGCTGTTGCATATGTGATATTTATAGTCATTCTCATAATGCTACAATATGTCTGTGAGGTGTTGTGTTCAGTTGATATAATCAGAGTCAAGCATATTTAGCTTGCCACTAGAAATGTTTCCTATAACATATTAGCAACAAGCAGGTTATACTTACCTCAAATGTCTTGTAACAAAATTTTCATTTTTTCTATCCTGACTGACGTTTGTTCCTTTTCCTCGTAGCTATGCTACTCTATCATGGCATTAAGTGATTTCCTGATGATACGTTAATACGTTGATACGTATACAAATATATATAATAATCTATTTATATATCTGTTAATATATTAATATTCAAGACAGCGACATCATTACCATTGATGTCCTCGTGGCAATATTAATATATCTATTAACATATCTATTGATACATATTTTACATCATCTCTGGCCTAATCTGTTGCAGTGCAAAACAGCACACATTAGATGTACTTCTGATAATAATAATTAATAATACATCGATTAACATATATCTAGCAATATGCGTCTCTCACCATCTGTGCCTCTCTTCTCAATTACAGACACGAAGGAGAACAAGGAGAACGTCGCTGACGGCGTGAAGCCCCGGCCGCCGGAGAGGAAGCTGAAGATTCGTAACGTTGTGCAGCCGCCCGGCACGATCAGGTACGCTGTCACCGGCAGCGACACACTACACAGCATCGCAGCCAAGTTCGACACGACTCCCTCGGAGGTGAAGAAGCTCAACAAGCTCTTCTCGACGACCGTGTTCGCTGGACAGGTGAGTGAGCGTGATGGCACCACTGTCCACGAGAGATTTCATGTTCACGTTATTGAGTCATAGTGTGGCCCGATGGTACATCGGATCTAAGGGTCGTTATCGTATCGGTAAGGTGGGCTAAAGTGAGTGTGAATTGGGGAATGTGTGTGCAAGTGGAGGCCGCAGTTGAGGCAGCTCATGAGAGAGGATTTCATGTTCCGGTAACAGGGTTGCAGTGTTTCCCGTTCATTGTGCAGCTGAGCTGTAGGTAGCATGGTGGTGGTCATCCTCAAACCAATCAACAGATCAATAATCGAGTCGATTTTGACTTTTTTAAATCACCTTTGTTCAGTAATTTGTCATTGTCATCAAAAGTCATTTCATTACCGTTATCGTCTTCACCGGCAACAGCAGTAGCAGAAACTGTTGCACCAGCAGCAGAAACAATTATGTATAGCCGCAGTAACAGCAGTAGCAGTAGCAGCAGCAGTAGCAGTGGCGGCGGTGGTGGGGTGGCGACAGCAGCAGCGGCAGGAGGAACAACAACAACAACAACAACAACAACAACAACAACAACAGTGGCAGCTGCTGCGTACTGTTGCTAAGCTTGTGATCAACACCCCCGTTCATCCCCCTACCGATGCTGTCATCCCATCTCTACGAGATCCCGCAGTTGGTCACAAAGCGTTCTCAACCACAATCTAGTCTTTCATGCCTCACAGCGAGCCGTATTCCTAAACGCGTGAATTTTTTATTGGACGGAAAATGATCATCACACAGTCGTCATAGCTACTACTTGGCGGCGACTTTATATTGCCTGTAAAAAATCTCATTGAATGGAGTGGAGATGAATCATTCAGGAAGGTATAGCGAAAATGTTCTCTAAATGCCTGACTGATTGCTGACTACGTGTGGAATGATGGTCGGGCGCCGACGCACGCATATTTGAATCCAGTCTTTGGCCTCCGTATTTCCTTTGCAAAATGATGTGATTGTTCATGGATCACTCAAGATCGAGGCGTTAACCATTAGGTTACTGAAACATGTATTTTTTTCTCCTATTTGAGGTATACTTGACGGGATTTTCCATGCCGTGGTAATCTCTAACTATCATATAATCAGGGGTTAATAATGGCAAATTGTCATTATTAACCCCTGATATAATCCAATGCCAAGTCAATCGGTAGCGTGACTTTTTAGATCGGCTTAGTGACGTTACGTGAAACGAGACATTCACTAATTGTGTAACTAGTTGTGTAACTTGTGTGTCTAAATGTTCACTAGTTGTGTAAGGGCAGGGGGGTCGGGCACATCTACTGATTACAGCTACGCAAAGGCATCGCATCTCCGCATGGGGCATATCGTTTGTAACGCCATAATAATCCACATAAAACTAAGTATTGCCATACAGTTCTTTGTTGAGTAAACTAAATGGAGTATTGTCATAGGGATCTCTTTTGGACTTTGTCATGTTCCGTGTCTCTCTGTGTCTGTGTGTGCGTGCGTGCGTGCGTGCGTGCGTGCGTGCGTGCGCGCGTGTGTGTGTGTGTGTGTGTGTGTGTGTGTTTGTGTGCGTGTGCGTGTGCGTGTCTGTGCGCGCGTGCGTGCGTGCGTGCATGTGTTAGTGTTTGTGTTTCCTCGTTAATGCACGAGTTGGCCGCATGATCGCGATCTGTCTGTTTGTCCATTCCGCAGACACATCCTAAAATGTGTGCGCACGTGTGTCACAGCCGGCGTTCACGGCCGATAACTGCCAAACGTAGTGTGAGCGTGAGAGTGAGGGAGAGGGGAACGCGTAATGAGCCGTAAAAAGATGGAAGCTAGTGCAATCCCCGCCTGCGTGCTTGCGGCGTGGATATATGTCGGAGGCTGCTGATCGGGGTGGGGTGTATAACACTGTATGTCATTAGCGTTCGTGCCTCGACATCTCCTTCTACATGATTGCGCAGTTTCGCATGTGGATATACATAGCTGTTTCCGTCATCAATGCACCTGCAGATAATTTACAGGTGGAGAGACTCGTTGGCGGTGGTTTAGAGGCTCGAGTACTGAGCGAGAGTGTGAGGCTATTATACTGGGCGATGTTTGATATTTACCTGGTTGGCAGATTTCATTGTATTGTTTTATGTAGAGATCGAGCTCCCTGGTTGGATTAGAGTAGGGTTATGGTTTCTGTTAAGAAATATGGTTAGGGGATATAGTGATGATGACGATGACGACGACAATGTATTGCCGGGATCCTAAATTAGACTTGAGTTAGATGTAGCTACCTCTGTAGTGTAGCTGCCATTGTTGATAATATTTAATAACTTTTTTCCAGACTATGTATGTGCCAGATCCAGATTACGTCATTCCCTCTCCATCACCAGTGGAGGCAATCCCTACTGTGACATCGCCAGAGAAAGGTGGTCCTGTATTCAACTTTACTGCCAAGGTATATATAAGTGATATGTGATCGCGTGCTTTATTCTAAGCATGGCTATCGTCAGAATCATTACGGAGAAAGAAGTAAAAAAAAATTTCTATGAATCGTTTCGAGTCGGGTAAGCAGCCTACATTCTTCTCAACTCTGCTTATCGAATGTCTCTTGTCATCGTGGTTGCTCTGGCAACCAAGAGCATAAATCACTCTGCCAATAATTGTCCTCGCAATCTTTATATAAATATGCTGTTCGTAGTTCAAGGTATTAATACGCACTACCTGTCCCCTGCGTCTGTTCAGTAACCTTACCCAAGGGTATGCTGTTAGGGACTGATCAATAAGGCTTAAAGTTTATGGTAATGATAATTCCCAAAATACTATTGCACTTACGGTGTGATAATGGTTTTGTCAGTCACTTATCTTAACTCTGCAACTACCTAACTTGCGCAATAATCAGATGTTATTGTTGTCATACAGTCTCTTATGGGACAGTGGCCATCTTTTAAGGCAAGCATGAACCCAGTGGGGCTCAAGGGGTCGTTGTCGTATCAGGTACTACAGATATGTACCCGAGGTACATATATGTATACACAAAGTGTACCAGACTTGTACTACAGAAGTGTAACAGTAGTGGGTAGAAGTGTAAAGTATCCCCTAACCCTAACCCTAACCCTAACCCTAACCCTAACCCTAACCCTAACCGTAACCGTAACCCTAACCCTAACCCTAAACATACCTCATATAAAAATATAAACATAATACCAGGAGTAGATAATAGGGAAGGAGTGTGACTTCAATAAACAAGGGAAATTAAACAAGGGAACGATTACGATTATGGGAAAGCCTTATAATACCTACGATTTACTACGCATAACTCATCCAACTTGAGCTCAAATCGTACACAGTACATTCGCCTAGCATCGTGCGAAATCGTTTCCTCGTATACACCCCCAATCCGGAGATATAGACTAAAACGTACGACACGATTTTCCATTCTGCTGCCAGCAAACTCAATGCGTTTTGCGCCGAAATTTAAACAAGGGGCAGCTACTCCTGATAATACTAAACAACCTAAAACTACCTCGGGTACATATCTGTAGTACCTGATACGACAACGACCCCATCTGCCCCAGTGGGTTGCTGGTTGGCTAGGTAGCGGTATCATGAACGTTAACAGGAGAAACCGTTGAAGTGCACATGCTGATGTACGACCAGCAGCATAGCGTTCGTAGAGTAGCTTTCTATTTAGTGGTTTGAGCAAGGTTATATCGTATAGATCTGTATCATCACCATTACTTGTCACTCTCCTAGTGTTTTCATTTAGTTTGACTCAGCCGAAGTAAAAGACTGAATCGATATGGCAGAACATGGAAAACTATTGCATTTATTGCCGACTGTCGGATGTGTGCTCTCACAGCCACATCACAGAGAGCCCTCAAGGCTTCTCGGGCCATCTCTCTCATCACTCCCGCGATGATTTCTGCGCACTTGGCATCATTATTCAGAAAGCATCGGAAGAAGGTTTTGAGGCAATTACCACTATTAGTGTAACGTTGCCTCGAACTGTCTAGTAATTGCAATAGGAAGTGAAAAAGTGTTAGACCTAATGGCAATGCATCAGTGGCAAGTAGAACATCGATAACTATCGCTAATAGTTCACTGAACAAACGATAGTTTTCGATAGTTGAAAAATTTAAAAATCAGGTTTGAATATATACTGCTAAAGATGTATTTGCACGTAAATATGCCTGGAAACCATTACCGACACGTCCGTCATTGTTATAAATATTTAGACTGGTCCCTGGTCGTGTACGCATAGTCCACTCAACTAGCTCACTCGCAATGCACGAGTGAGTGAATGATTGGATATCAGTTTAGTAACTAACGTGAACCAAAACGTACGTACGTACCTACGAATCACAGGCACTTGGGCCGTTTCAATAATAAAATGATGGTTAATAAGCCTATAATTAACTTATCAGTACTAGACCTGGCAGTATTCATAGTTTGATTTGACCTAATAACTTCACTTCAATACCGTCCAATACACCGCTGAAACACACATTCCTATAGCGCGCACGCCATTGTGCACAAATACACAGTAGGATAGAGCCTACGGACAATCACCCCCGGACAATGCCCCGGACAATCACCCCCCGGACAATTAGCCTGGACAATTACCCCCCCCCCGGACATTTACCCCCCATGCCATTCACCCCCCAGACAATTACCCCAGTACAATCACCCCCCGAACAATTACCCCTGGACATTTACCCCCTGGACAATTACCTTCGGACAATCACCCCCTGGACATTTACCCCCCGGACAATTACCCCGGATATTTACCCATCCATTCACCCCCCAGACAATTTACCCCCATACAATCACCCCCCGGAACTTACCCCCTGACAATTACCCCCCGGACATTTACCCCCGGACAATTACCCCCGACATTAAGGCCCCGGACATTTACCCCCGACAATTACCTCGCCCGACAATTGACATTTACCTCCTATGCCATTCACCCCAGACAATTTACCCCCGTACAATCACCCCCCAGACAATTACCCCCCAGACATTTACCCCGGACAATTACCCTCCGGACATTTCCCCCCGGACATTTACTCCCCGACCATTTACCCCCCGGACATTTACCCCCCGGACATTTACTCCCCTGACATTTACCCCCCGGACATTTAGAGGAGGAGTTAGAGGACGACGTAGAAGGTAGTGGAGGAGGAGGAGTAGGAGGGGGAGAGGAGGAATCGAGGAGGTGCAGGTGGTCGTTGAGGGAGGAGGACGAGGAGGAGGGGAGAATGTGATGGCACCCTTCTCTACCTCCTCCCTCCACCTCCTCTTCTCCTCCTCTCCTCCTCCTCCACCTTCTCCCCCTCCTCCTCCTCCACCACCTTCTCCCCACCTTCTCCCCACCTTCTTCCCCTCCTCCTCCTCCACCTCCTCTCCTCCTCCTCCCTTTCCTCCTCCTCCTTTCCTCCTCCCCCACCTTCTCCCCTCCACCACCTTGCCCTCCACTACCTCCTCCCTTCTCTACCTCATCCTCCTCCACCTTCTCCCCTCCTCCCCTTCCTCCACCACCTCCCCACGTTCTTCCCCTCCTCCTCCTCCACCTCCTCTCCTCCTCTCCTCCACCACCTTCTTCCCTTCTCCTCGACCTCCTCCTTTTCAACCTGTTCAACAATAAATAATAAACAACAAGTGAGTAATTGTCCGGGGGGTAATTGTCCGTGGGGTAAATGTTCGGGTGGTAAATGTCCAGGGGGTAATTGTCCGGGGGGTAATTGTCCGGGGGGTGATTGTCCGGGGGGTATTTGACCTAGAACCCCTACGAATATTTAAGTTTTATTATAACAGTATATTACACAATTTTTCGATTACTGCAATAGTATCGGCAATAGTATTTTAACTATCGCAAAACATTTGCATTAAAATTGCACCCAGTAGTCACCTCTGATTAACACCATTTAAATAATCATTTAATTTTAATGAAAATTTGAAAATATTCAGATCTAGAAGGCACTTTGCTCACAGCGTGAAGCGATGGGCATCACTAAGGCTTGCCATGCTATCCCTTAGCAATTCTTACATGGCGTGCCTTAATTCTTAAGGTGCTGTGTGTGCCACGCTGCCTGTATGAACTACTTATAATCGCCTGCGATAACCTCATTAAGAATGCTATCCGAATATAATACAGATGCCACCCGTATGAAACGGCCACGAAATGTGATGAAAGTGCACTATTGTGGGTCATTTCGTTATTAAAAACAATGCCATGATAAATTTGTTTGACGCACTTTGCTTCAGATATTGCTCACGGCCGTCGCCGTGTCTAATCCTAATTGAAATCCTATCTTAATCCTAATTCGCCCTGATTCTAATTCGCCCTGATGCTAATCCGCCGTCATCACTGTTTTCGACAGCAGCCGGAAGCCAAGTCGCCGACATCGCCGGCATCAGTGAGTCCGAAGCCAGGCCACGTAGAGCGGGTGTTTGAGTACGAGCCAGCTTTCATTGAGCAGTGGGTGAACGTAGACAGCCAGCCTCCTCCCCCGCCGCCACCTCCTCCTCCCATGGCGGCGGCGGGGGGAGAGACGGATGAGCCGATGTCGCCAACGAAGCGGCTGCATCACATCAGTGAGGAGGAGGCGGAGAGACTCGACAAGGAATGTCTCGAGAAGTTTCTCAAGATCAACGTGAAATACATCACAGATGGACAGGTGTGCATGTGTGTGTGTGTGTGTGTGTGTGCGTGCGTGCGTGAGTGCGTGCGTGCGTGCGTGCGTGTGTGTGTGTTAGGGGGACTATGAGCGTGCATGCATGGATACGTGCCTGCAAAAGATAATCCGCAGATATTACACAGTCACATCCTCTCTACTGTGGCTCATGTGCATATGCAAATGAGATACTACGCAACAAAATTTGTGATGCGCTGTAATATTTCATTCAATCTACTTTCGTAATTCATTAATATGATGTTTTAGTACTTGACTATGGGGTTGATTTTCATTTGCAAGACGAACCTGTGGACGCAAGTTCATTATGATTAAATAAGTGTAACTGGTCTGTAAGTAGTTTATAAATATTCATTGACTCAATCATTTTAATTATTTATAAAGTGTAATATAAATATTCATGCACTTCATGAAGGTATAGTATGCACAAGCTATTGAAAGCTATTTGTTTCTATATAAGCTTAGGGCGTAGATACGTAACTCATGCATCTCGATGGTGTAACACATTTTTAGCTCACCTTGACATCCTCAAGATGAGCTATTGCCATGGGTCGTCGTCCGTCGTACGTCCGTCCGTCCTTCCGTCAACATTTGGTTACGGTCAACGATAACTCAGGAACCGTTTGACCCACATGTTTGAAATTGGGTATGGTTGTTACTGCTATGGGAGAGGTTTGAACGTCCTATTTTGGAGCACGCCAGCCGACGTACTTTCGAGCCACGGCTTTTTTTTGGCAAAAATGGAAATTGCCATTAGTCAGTTCAGGTTCAACGGATTTTGCTCATTTTTGGTATGTGAATGAATAAGGGCTGGCCCCAAAACGTATTACAAGGGTTTTGATATTTAAAAAAAAAATTATGCAAATTAGGTAGGTTTTGGCAATTATATAGCATATTATATAGACAGGCAGATAACAGTCTTGTGGTGTCACACTCGTCTGGTTCGTTTTACAAGATTTCATTGACAATATCTTTAATGCAAAATTGGTATTTCCTTTCCACCCTGCCGATAAAACGTCTATATTAGAGTAAAGTTTTACAAAACATGTCGGAACGCAGCATAACCTGTTTATTTCGAACGCCATCGCTAAGAAACATCAAAGCGGGTATAGCGCCATCTACCGTCACAAATTGTGATTCATTTTGGTTTATAAATTATTATTGCGATATACAGATGGCAACCGTGTGCTACTGCCTAGAAAAACTCATATGAAGTAAACACTTCCACGCAACCAATTAACCTTTGACAAAAGTTGTGTTATGGGCAGGGAAACACCATTGTCACGTGGTATATAGCAGCTACGTGGAATAAGCGTATCTTCTCAATCTTACACGTTACACATCGGGAGCTCCGCTTTTAGGCAGTGCCTAAATCTGAATATTATAAAAACATTAAATGGCGATCATTTAGGTGTAACGCCATCACTCGCCCACATCTCAGACTTTCACATCTCAAACATTAATTTTCACATAAAAAAATTACACATAATTATCAAGAGTATATAATGGGAGTTCTCCCATATATACTCTTCGTTTCTATAATGTACGTCGATGGTTGCTCAATTAAAACTGACTTCTTCTCACTCACTCATTTGTGTCCGTTTTTGTGGTGAGCTACAGTGTCATTGACACTTTCATTTAACTTTTGCAGTATTCCCTAATATCACAATCATCCTTCCACAATTATTTTCTTTCCCTTCTCCTCCCTTCCGCCACATGGAAGGGTTACTTTCGAGGCTGTAATTGCCATATTTCATCAATTATTAATTATGCCCACGTTACTAATATGACTCGAAGGGAATACCCAAACGCCTTCTTCTTCTGCATTGTATGTTTTGTTGGTCAACTCGAACTGCGGTGGTGCTTTAATAAATTGTCCTTCTTTTGCAGGAAGTTGTCACGGGTGTTCTCTTAGTCAACATAAATGCAGTCATGTTTTTATACATCGTTCATCTATTGCAGGACATTGTCTGCTGGTCACTCAGACTGCAGGGCTGTCTCCACACACTGCCCTGTTGCAGTTGTGCTCGACATTCAAAACGCAGTCATACATATTTTCCAGCTGTTGTAGGGCATCTGTTCATCGTGCTCTGTTAGTGATGTCTCCATCCTGTCACATTTCATTGACATTCTGCTGGTCCAAATGTAGTCATATACATTGACTTTCTATTGCAGGGCGTTGTCAATGGTGTTCTACTGGTCACTCCGAACGCGGTTATGTTTGACCCTAACACATCGGACATATTGGTGATTGAGAACAGCACTGAGACATACAGCGTCATGGCACCCATGGAGACGATCATCAGTGCAGCCATCTTCCATGACATGAGCACGGCAGGAGGCGGGACAGTGTAAGTTAGCTCACACTGTGCTGCACGTGTGTTTCATTCTAGGTGCTTACCATATATGCACCTCCGTGTGCAGTATGTATTGTAGTATCATTGTGTACACGTGGATTTGACTGTATGTGTGCGTCAAGTGTCATGATTGGTATGGAGTAGTGGATAGATGCCTAATCGCAATGTCTCATGCATAAGAGTAAGTCCAACAGTCCACAGATTAGATTGGCACCCAAGTTTATTCAAGTTTCGTACGATTTTAGTTTCTCAGCATCCGCTGCCAAACACATGTATACAAGGGCCAGTGATACACATATAGAATAACACAAGTCTGAAAACCAAACTAGTCGAAAATTTATATTTCTACTATGTTACCAGGAGTGAATAAAAACAAATAACTAAAGATTTACTAAAAACTAGACAGTCCTGCTCAAAGGTTACGAGTCTTAGACTGGGTACGGGCTGCTATTTTCAACACTGGTAACTTAGTATTAAATTACATAATTCACTCAAGAAATCTAATAAGAAAAATTTTAAAATAGAAAACTTTATTGCATAAGTGTTGAAAAAGATTATGTGGTAAATATATGATTTTTTTCTGGTGCTTTATTATCCACAACATAGCAACATAGAATTCAAATGAGAGAATTGATTAAGATTAGAGTAAAAGCAGCATTTAACTTCTGGGCAAAGAATTACCTCTAGTTGCTGATCTCCCTCCACATGGGTGTGCTTTTTAGTTTAAATGTAAAATGAGCAAAGCTGTGCTAATTGGGTAATTGCTACATACCAGTACATTATGATTAGTAAAAATTTCCCACAAAATGTTTAACATTTTCCACTTCTAACTTACTCCTTCACACATAGTCTCACAATTGCAACATCACCGTATATACGAGTGCCAACAGTCACCTTGCTATTACCCGCTTATGCTGTACATGAATGTCATCTGTCTTTTACTGTACTTACGCTGACTACTTATGTATGTCATAAATAAGCACCATCGGGGAATGATGACTAATGACTAATATGTGTGCCATACATCAAAGCCATCTGGTGTTCAGTTACTACCATTGTCAATAAGCTCTACTCCCTTTTAAATAGTTATCTCTCTGCACAGATCGATATGTTAATATGAATTTATAAGTGCTATTTGGTCGTAAATATAGGGTTATTACCCAGTTGTGTTATGGTTTGTAATGCACATCATCTATGTTCCAGGCATATGCTATTCATCAGCCTTCTTGGTCTCTTGCTAATGTTTCATCATGTGTGTTGTTGTTTAGGGGTGGAGCCACACCTGAGATATACCATACTCCAGGCTGCCCTTTACATATAATTGCTCAAATGAAAGGTACTTATTTTTTCCAAAAATGACATATTGTTTTATCTCTTGTTTCAGTAATGCAGTACACATCAACATGTTCCCCCTCCCCTTCTCTCTCTCTCTCTCTCTCTCTCTACTCTCTACTCTACTCTCTCTCTCCTCATCCTATTCTCGCTATTCTCTCTCTCTCTCTTCCTCTCTCTATCTATCTCTCTATCATCTCTCCTCTGCTCTCTCTCTCTCTATCTATCTTCTCTTGCTCTCCTCTATCTCTCTTTTGCTCTCTCTATCTCCTGTCTCTCTCTCTCCCTCTCTCTCTTTCATATCTCTGTTTCCCCTCTCTCGCCTCTCTCCCTCCATCTCTTTCTCTCAATCCCCTTCTTTCTCCTCTCCCTCTCCACCCACGCTATCTCCCTCTGTCTCCCTTCCTCTCTGTATCTTGCCATTTCGACACATAGACCTAATGGTAATCACCGCTTGCACTGCTTCCCGGCAGATGAGGATGCGTCGACGCGGCCGGCACAGATGTCGCGCATGTCGACGATCACCAGCGAGGTGTCGGACCACTCCGACGAGACGCAGCCAAACGACAGCGACGCCGAGCTCGCGGCCGATGCCGAGGAGATGCCCGAGCTCACCAAGTGGGTGCTGGGGGCAACGACGATGGCAACGATGATGTCCATCGGCAGCGAGGACGGCGGCACGCCTACCCCGAAGGCGCTCTGCTCGTGCGGTGCCGAGGAGCAACGCGCCAACTACTTCTTCGAAGGCAGTGAGTACTTGCGTGTTCTGTGGCGAGCTTTCAGCTCTAGTTGACGATGTTCATCTGGTGGTATTCTTGCTGAAGTCACTTGTTGCTATGTGCAGATTGTTGTGCCGTCTTTCACTAATGCACTAACGTGTGTCTGTCGTTTCACCTTAGCTCCGAATTTCTACAAGCTTTCTGAAATAATCGACTATTATATGGATTGCCTAATACTAAACTAACTGCGGTAGCAGTATACTATACTAGTACTATGCTAGTACTATACTAGTAATTCACTAGTGTATTATACACTCGTGAACTGAACTAATACCAAAGAGTAGGTCTGAGGATCATTCAGGCTTTGGTATTTGTGCGTGTGTTCTTGAAAGATTGAAGCCTTTTCGTCATAATTCAGGTACAAGAGACCTATAGTTTCTGCATAATCATTCGATACTAAACAAAACTGACTGAAACTTGCTGTGCATGCAGTTTTTACTGACCTAGCACCATAAAGGCATTGGCTTAGGAAGGGTTTTACACCAAAATATTTGAACAATAACTTTTTTACGAGTCTTTACATAAGGAAAAATGCCTTACATTAACCAGAGGTGTGCTGTCTGCACAGTGTTATAAGGTGCTGAACATTCGCTGTTCATTGCTACCTTGTTGCTAGTGGGGCAGAGCGGCGGTTATTTAGGTTCACATCTTCTTCAATCGTGTGTACACAATAACCGGGAGTTGTTCAATCTCACTCACGGGTGAATCAAGGTGTATTTATATACTCGCGTAATAGTTTATCGGCAACTATTTTAACATTTTACTCCTAACTAACTGACGACACTGACACGTGTTATTATGTCATTTATATTTTAATTTCAAACATATTCGCTCTGCATCATATCATTTGTATAAACAAACTCAAAAGGCGGAAAGGTATTCGGATGGTTTGTTGTCACAAAGAAAATGTGACAACGACGAAAGTGCAAGTTCTACCGTATTCGAACCGAATTGAACCGACAAAACAGTAGGGGTGTAACGATTCACGGAGACATCGGTGCATCCGATACAGTGGCCCACGATACGATAATCGATACGCAGCGTCCGTATCACGATACAAACGATACGCATGTTAAGCAGTGAATGAGCCTGTAAGGCAAGCTAAACTATTTAATAAAGCACCTGTAATTTCTTTTAAATTGAATTTTTTATTTTATTTTATGAACTCTTTAGTATCACGTAAATATCATCGGCCGCCATAGAAACATGGGTCAATATATGTCGCGTGCATGTATTGCCACCAAAACCGCAAGTCAATCAAGAGTGCTGATTGACTGATGCGTGTCGTTACTGCGCACATACTGTGGGACTGTGTATGGCGCGCACGTAAGTGAAGCGGTCGATGTTGTCTATATATTGAGTGTGGCTGTGACATACTCATGATACGTTTGCGTTGTCAAAGTATTGGAATAGGTATTATAACAGTAAAATTAATTTGACCATTTATGTCGACCGACTGTTTCTGTCTGTGTATCGCAATATGTATCGTATCGTGACCTACGTATCGAGATACGTATCATATCATGACCTTAGTGTATCGTTACACCTCTACAAAACAGTACGCCAGGGTGACTAAAACATTCACTCACCATCAACGTAGACGCACAACTAAACTGCTTAAATTAGTGCCGGTATTTGTATCCCATCTTATTCCACGCGTCGTGGGTGGATAGCTAACAATTGCCTATCGCTGGGAGAGCTGCTGTCAGGCATACCCGCATAAGCTGAGTGAATCTTTATTCTTGCGGTAGGATGAATTCGTGCGGTTAGGCTAACGTTGTGCATAGGCCGCGTATCTGCACTTCTTCGTACTTATCCGCTGCTGTGGCTTTCCTATCTTTCTGATTGGTAGGTCAGTGCAGTCGTAGCAGTGCTGCCGTCGCGAATCCTGCCCTTGCTCAAAGTGAATACTACAATGCTTTCAATCAGTCGGAGACGACGATGCCGGGTGTGGAGCCGCAACGCCCCACGCTGCCTCGCATCCAGTCAGCGTACGAGGCTACAACCCTAGAAGACATGGCTGCGGTGTCAGAGGGCACCACGACTACGCTTCCAAAGCTAGCCAAGGTCACAGTGCCAGAGGGCGCCACGGAGCAGGACTCTGTTGCCCGAGAGCCTGTGACACCAAAGATCAAACTGCACAGTTTCCACATCGGCTCAAGCGACCTTGAGCAGGATAGTTCCTCGCCTGACACGCCGCTCCCACCCAGCACTCCGCAGCTGGGGACTCCACAGCCAACCCCATCCCCTGATTCCCAGGAATCACCTCAGCCTCCCGGGTCCCCGCCGCCACCAGAGGGCAGCTCGCCACTGCATGACAGCCCACCACCGCAGGGCAGCCCGCTACCAGCAACCGTTACTGCATCAGCAGACGAAAACATAGCCGATGGGGAATGTGAAGGCGATGCCGTCTTCACCGACGGCAAAGACGAGGAGGAGGCAGAGCCGGCTGCTGCTGACGCTGGCAAGGAGAAGAAGCGAGACAACTCCAAGATCCTCCAGCGTCGCGCGACCTTCCCTTACTTCAGCATCATGTCCGACGAGCCGGTGGAGGGCGCGCCTGACCCGCTGCCGAGTCCCGAGCCGCGCAAGATGTCGCTGAAGATGCGCAAGTCGAACCCGGTCGACGGCAAGCCGAAGACGAAGCAGCGCTCACGCTCCTTCCGCCGGCCGCGGCTGTCGAGCCTCTCTGACTATGCCGCGCGCAGCCGCAGCATCGTCGGCTACACGGCGGGGCTGCTGCGCGGCAAGGACGGCGATGCAAAGACGCGCGGAGAGCGCGCGCCCATGTCGAAGGCCGACATCGTGTGTCAGCTTGAGCAGCAGCTGTGGTACACGGAGGAGGCACGGCGCGCATTCAAGGAGAGCGGCCGCAAGAGCAGCATCGGCATGAAATGCGTGCTGACGAGGACAGACCGGCCAGACCTGTTCGCGTCTATTGACGGTAGGTGTGAGCGTGCGTGTGCGTGCGTGTACGTGCCTGTGTGTGTGCGTGCGTGCGTGTGTGTGTGTGCGTGCGTGCATCACGCCGGTTAGTGGAACCGCACGGGACCGCTAGGTAGTTAGCAAGAGTGCATGCACTGCCACGCAACCAGCATCTGATGACAGACCACCACATTCATCGCGTTCGCCGCAGATGGAGATACTTCGTTTTAAAGTGAGAGCAAGCGCATTCAAAGGCCGCATTTTACAATTCTGACACCATCCAAAATTACTCTATAGTTTCTAAAAGTGGTAAAGCTGTTGTCACATCCATTTGGCATTCCAGTAATGCACACTTTTATGACACATAAATCTTCTAGGGAAACTGTGTTTCTGGCATGTGTTAGTGTGTGTCTACTCGTTGTCCAGCCAAACCCTGACACTCGCATGCATATAATACTCGCGCACATTGTCACATCTATGTCATTGTGTGAAGCATGCTCACGCCTGACCCCGCGTGACACCCCCTGACACCACACAAAATCACAATATCATGAAGTCCTCATGCGCGTATTTTGTGGTTGATGCCACGAAAAGTCATCATGCGCGTATGTTGTGGTTGCATGGTGCCGTCATCATAATGGTGCTGTCATTATGATGATTGTAATTCATGCATAAATTCAATCATCGTTCCTAAAATTGTCGCCATCGAGTAGCCGAGTAGTGGCAACACCAACGCTAGAGTTGTAGTCGGATCTTGCGTGCATGAGAATGCACGATCGCTGTTCCACCCGCCTCGTCGATTTTACAGTGAGAATTTTGCGTGCCAGGAGAGGGCAGCAGCTGCCAGCTTAGCAACACACGGCTATTGATTTTCCTTCTCGGAGAAGCGATATAAACAGGCCAGATAAATTGTGTGAATCCAATATGGCTTCAGTCAGCGAAGTGATGTGAGACATTGTAGCTGTTTTTCGGCGTCGATTGCTAGGGCACGAGTGTTTGCACCCCATCCAGCGACGTAGGTTGCGTGGTGAGTGAGCTAGACAATACACACTGCAACAATCGTGTGATAGATAGATAAGGGAGCGTGGTAAATATCAATTGTAACTTGAATACTTTAGGCTGCTTGCAACGATGATGGAGCCCAGAAGGCTGCTGCTGGCAGAAGAGGAACTTGTATTGTGCGCTGTTGCTGTAGATGAGTTCGTATTTGATAGGTTTTTTTACAACGCTTTATGTTGCCGTCAACAACACGCGCAATGCTAGGTTGATTACTACTGCTCACGTTACGTACGGGTACAGCAGATTATCCTTATTTATATCTACTATTACTGTACCGGTATCTTAAAGTACGCTGGGACTCAATTTTCACGCTGCCCACGTTATAGTGTTGATTCTGCCCACGATAAATTTAAAAGAAATATCAGTTAGGGTGGGTGTGACAACATCTGCAAAATTTGGGCATGTCAGACATCTAGTCAATGGTTCTGGTAAGGATCGAACTTCCTTAGGAGGTAGGATATAGTGTGATGATGTAGCCCTTCAAACCGGCATGCACTGATGCAGAGTTATCATAATAGTGCTCATAGGGTCTATGTCCCCCAGGGTACTGCCAGAATGTACCCTGGGTACGGTCCTGTATACCGGAACGTACCCTGGTAACTATTTGATATGGTTAGGGTTAGGGAGTAGGCGTAGGCGTAGGCGTAGGCGTAGGCGTAGGCGACTCCCTAGACTCATTAGTGGAGTAGGCGAGGTACAGTCCGGCATATTAGATAATACCAGGGTACGTTCCGGTATACCGGCCCGTACCCAGGGTACGTTCCGGCAGTACCCTGGGCAGAGATGCCAACCACTACGATTTATCCGTATTTTATACGAATTTCTATTCATTTTGCACCACTACGACCAGTTTGTATCAAACTACGAATTTCACTGTGATCGAAAAAAAAAAAATTTGTCAATTATTGTCATTTTTTGTCAATTTATTGTCATTTTTGACCTCCAGAATGCAGGAAATTGCATCTCAGAATCCAAAATTTTTCCGGGGGGCATGCCGGACCCCCTTAGCAAACTCTGCCTGGGGGACATAGACCCTCTCAGCCATAATAGTAGTTAGAAACATGGCCGATGCGCTATAATTTGACTGTTGGTAGTGTACATCGGCAGACGTGGATGTGTGCATACAGGGTGAACATGCACATAACCCGGGGGCCAGTTTACTCAGTGTTTGTACTTCCCGGAATCCCATGTGTACAGTGCAAACTGTTACACATAATATACCAGCAGCACAGTGTTTTACTGTTGGTTACTGATTGACTAGGAATTATAAGCCTCACGAGAGCATACTATCAGTAGAGACATTTGTAGTAGTGGTGGTGTGTGTGTGTGGGGGGGGGGGGGAGGGGGGTACCGCAACCTCTTAAAATAGTGCAGCCTTACTTAGCCGGAAACGTTATACTACACATGTGGGCTGGGTACACAAACACAACTACTGTGCCCAGTAGCAGAACTCTACCACAAGTAACAACAAAAGTGTAGGGTACAGGGGGGGGGGGGGGTCCCCAAGTGCCCTAAAAAATGTCATCCCTTTTTTTGTTAAGGTTAGTTTTTCTGATAACGATTTACTTATATATATATAAATTCGTTATAAAAACTTAGAAATGGGCAAAGAGAGGTCCGTGGGACCGGATCTGATACATTTGTGTTTTTCAACTCGATTTTATTGTCTGTGTGAATTTCACTGTAGGATGATTTAAAAGAAAATTTTCTGCTAAAAATTTGGAATTCCATCTTGCATTCTAGACATCAAAATTACTGCTCAGATGCTCTCAGAATGCACCAATTTTTTTTTAATTTCTTGGAGGAGGTCCCCGAAACCGACCGCCTTGGGCACGTCGCATAAGCTGCCTTCGGCAGCTTTTTAAAACACCAGCAAAATTAAGCAGGAAAAAGTGCCATTTATTTCTTCCTGGACTCCCCCCTTTCAAAAATCCTGGATCCGCCCCTGGGGTATAGTGAGTTGGGAGGTCCATTTATAAACATCGAGTTACAGCTAGGTTGAGGTTAGATTGGAGTTATGGTTATGGACCCCATTGTCAGAAACACAAATATTTATGACTATTATAAGTCTAAAATGTCATAACCTTTACATTTCTCTGCACTACTAAAGTTATCATATTTTAGACTATGATGTCATAACTATATATGATGTTTCTGATAATGGGCCCCTGGTTGTTAGACTGGTAAGGTAATCACATAGCTGTAATCCTGACTTTATCTTTACCTGTACACCATGGTGAGCATCCATCCTGGGTTGCCATAAGAGAGTTGTTTGGTTGATTGTTAACAGTATATATATGTTTAGTTAACAGTAATATAGTTAACAGTAATATAGTTAACAGTAATATCCAGCATTGCTGAAGTCCATCGATATTTTTTTCTGCCAGAATTGAATGATTTCTTGTTTGTGCTATAGCCACTCGATACCACCTAGTTCATTTGTACATACCCATATAACTCATTGTCCATTGCGAGTCCTTTTTTGTGCATGTGCCTGGCTGCTGTTCAGACTGGCAAGCTTGATACTCCCCCACTCCTTATCTCTCTTCCTTTCCTTCTCTCTCTCTCTCTCTCTCTCTCTCTCTCTCTCTCTCGCTCTCTCTCTCTCTTCTCCTTATCTTTCTTATCTCTCTCTCTCTCTCTCTCTCTCTCTCTCTCTCTCTCTCTCTCTCTCTCTCTCTCTCTCTCTCTCTCTCTCTCTCTCTCTCTCTCTCTCTCTCTCTCTCTCTCTCTCTCGCTCTCTCTCTCTCTCTCTCTCTCTCTCTCTATACGCATGCACGTGCGAACGCACTCACGTAGAGACTAGAGTAGCTATGTGCGGGGATTTGCCTATTCTGTACTGTGTATATTTAATATGTGAAATGGATTTAAATTATTTTTTTGTCAGTAATAAATAATGTAGGGTCAGAAATGACGTTGTTACATGGTAGCAAGTACTTGCTACCAGAGAAAAAAAACCAGGCAGCACACACTCAGCAACTGAAGTGAAAACCATAGCTCAGTTCCACGTCTCCCGCATCCAACAATAATGTCCTATGGCCTCTGCCCATAGTGAAGCTCCTTTTGGCTCCTAGCCCAATTTCCCCTGATTCGTTGTTTCTAAATATAGTCACTCATGGTTAACCCAAGTTTCACATTAAATGAAGTACGGACGGTCACATAGGGTCATCGCAATTTGAAAATATAAACGACCCAGTACAACTGGTCATCGTTTTAACAGAAATTGCCTGTACCTTTGGTATTTTACTTTTGTAAGTTAGGATCGAATGTCCTCTGGTAAAAAGTATTTGCTACCATGGCTGCACTAGTTCTGTTATTATACCTAACTTTAGTTAATGCAGGCACGGAATATTAAAGACCCGAATCTACGTATCTACTGAGTCTGTAGATATCAAAACAAGGAATCATTCACGTTTTATCACAAGAAAAATTTCGATTTGTGACGCTGTTGTGATTATGATGGATTAACCATGATGATAACTATAGTTATGACAGCTACTATATTGACAATGATGGTTTGGATGATGATGAAGATGATGACGATGATGATGAAGATGGTGATGATGATGGTGATGGTGGTGGTGGTAATGGTGGACAGTGACAATTATGATGATAAAGCTGGGTTTACACTATCGGCTTGTTGACAGTGTTGGCGAATTGGTGAATTGGTTCAACTTCCCAACTATATAAACTCGGCAGTGTAAACGCAAAAGTTGCCTGACCAACCGATCGATAGCAACTAGATGGGAGATTAAAACATGTTCTATTTTCGCCAACTCGGAGTTGCCGAGTTGTAAAATTGGTCCAACTCGCCAATTCCCCAACATAAAGTCGGTAGTGTAAACCCTGCTTAAGGAGGAGACAAAGGAGGAGGAGAAGGGGCGGAGGAAGAGCAGGAGGAGAAGGAGGGATAGGAGGAAGAAGAGGTAGGGTTGTGTGCATCATACATTAACATGTTGTCACCTTTCTCCTAACAGAGTGCACTGGCTGTGGTAAGACCATGTTTCAGCTCTCTCCCACTCTACATTTGCTGCATGCATGAATGAACAATTTCCTGTCACCAGTTGTTGCTGCGCCAACCTGCTGCGAACGTGGCAGTGCTTTGCTCTGCTTTCTTTAGGACCTGCTGCGAACGTGGCAGTGCTTTGCTCTGCTTTCTTTAGGACCTGCTGCGAACGTGGCAGTGCTTTGCTCTGCTTTCTTTAGGACCTGCTTGTTTGGCACAGGTCTTGCAGGTGTCGTTTGCATACCAGTGTTTCCTATTGGTGTGCATTCGGCCGTGGAGCGATGCTTCAGTCCTGCTTCGTTTAATTACCTATATTATTACCTCTATAATCTACTCTGTTTCTGTCATTCTGTCTTTGTTTTTTTCTCACATCTTCGAGCTTGGAAAATAATGCTCATTCTCTCTTGATGAAATAATTGTTAGTTATAACCGCGAGAATTAATAGTAATCACTAGGACCTCTTGATAATTTTTAGTTATATTTGCAGGCTTTTTTTCTAATGGAATGGGTAAATTATTCTATACCACTACAGTTTGGTAACAATTATATCCGCATATTCTATTATCCGGTAAAGTTAATATTTCTAGAGTATTCCTTAAATGAAAACGTCACTAGCAACATTCGCTGGTAGCCTGAGACGCACTGCGCGTTTTGTCGTGAAAGATACTCGTCCAAATTGTCAGTTAATGTTGGGCTCATCTGCCCACGCTCTATCATTTCACGTGCATCCGATTTTTTCTTTATTTACCTTTTGTCATCACTGTATAATGGTGACATTTTAGATCAGGAAGCAGCGACTGTGCGCTCGATTGTCACCTGCCTGCCGCCGCCCTGCCATTTTGTTAACCGCTACGGGGTACTGCAAAGAAAAGCCAACTGATTTGCACTTATTGATTATACTCACGCCAGGATTTATTCACCCATACACAAATACCAGCAAGTTTCAGCTGTCCAGTTGGAGCTGCTGCATGCACGTGGCAGTACGCACGACAGCAGACTTCCATCTATCCACCCCATCCATCCATCTATCCATCCATCCATCCATCCATGCATCTGTCCATCCATCCATCCATGCATCTGTCCATCCATCCATCCATCCATCCATCCATCCATCCATCCATCCATCCATCCATCCATCCATCCATCCATCCATCCATCCATCCATCCATCCATCCATCCACGCATCAGTCGATCCATGCATCCATCCATCTGTCCAGCCATCCATTCGTCCATCCATTCGTCCATCCATTCGTACATCGACTTCAGCAGTGTAGAGCAGAAAGTACTTTAGTTGAACATAGCAGCAGAGGCGGCGGCGGCAGTTGGAATGGAACATGTGGTGAAGTAGCGTATGAGTGCGCGGTAGCACATGTAGCCACTTAGATGCAATAATGTAACCAAAACACAGGATAGGCGTAATCTAACCCTATCCTGTGTTTGTGTTACATTGGGGTATCGTGGGTACATTGGGTACATCGTGGGTACATTGAGGTACATTGGGGTATCTAGTAGCCACTGTACAGCTCGGACTATGGCTCGGACACTCACACTAATACATGAGCTCATAGCGTAGCAGACTAGCAGTAAAAGGCACGTGAACTTGTTGCGCGTTCCAGTCGTATTCTGTGTAGTGGTTTTTAACGGCAGCAGAGGCATTAGCTGCGGACAAGGTGTGGTGATCGTTTCAGGGTTCGTAGCGGGTCTTCCAAAGTCTTATAAGTACTTATTTTGCCAAAAATAAAATAAGGGCCCTTATTAGTACTTATTTTTGGTAAAATCTTAGAAAAGTACTTAATAGTCCTTATTTTTTTATAAACTATTCTCGACTTAGAGTAAGAATTGTTGTATATATAATACGGAATAATTAAATCTGCTGTGCAATTGTGTATATATAAATATTAGTGTACTTTAATAGTCTAAATGGTGATCTTAAAAATAGTACTTTAATGGTGATCTATCAAAAATCGCGTAAAAAAGTATTATTTTGGCCTCCAGAAAGGGTCTTATAAGTCCTTATTTCAACATGTGTCTTACTACTATGAACCCTGCGTTTTGTCTTTCTGTTTCTTAATCTAGTAGGCGTTTAAGTTTCTCTGTTTTCATATATATAATAATTTATATATATATATATATATATATATATATATATATATATATATATATATATGTGACTTGTGTGTGCTTGTTAGCTAGGTATAGCTTGTAAGTTTTAGAATAGGTTAGAAATTGAGTTTACTTCCTGGGGCCCTACTGCAGTGGAATCTTTTCGTGCAACTGTCATTGAGCATCAAGAACCATAACTCTGGTCTAGCTCTGATTCTTAATGTGATATATCAATAAAAACAACGTGTAAATTGTTGTTTGCAAATAACAAACAAAAACATGTAAAAACAACGCTGCATTATTGCCATCCTATTTGCTGGATTACGTTTCTCTGTCTAGATTAGTTTGTTTTGTCTTGTCAGATTAGACAAATTTAGCCTCAGAGGGGTGATGAATATGTTATATGATTATGGTAGAGCTAACTTAATTAGGATAGTGTAGATACGATAGTAAGATGAAACTCAATTTAGAAAAAAATAAATCGGAATTGATTATACATGTGTTAGTTATAGATCCTTCTGCTACCTACTCTTGCTTTTCAAGGTGCATATGTCATGCTGTGATTTATGTGTATCTGTATGTACTGTTTTTCCTAGATCTATAGAACATTAATTCATTATAGTTGCCAAGAGACACACTCACAAACTCTGGTCGAGTGTGTACTGTTTGTAATTATTATAGTACATAAAGCAAGTTGCTGTTGTAATTTTGTGTTGGCATCATTAAGTTAGGAATGTAAATCTGCTAACTTTACATCCACATTTCCATCAGAACGTTCCCTGTGTTAAATTATATACTGTTTTTGCATTGGTGATACAAGCCATTAGTGCACTGGCATTATGTGGTAGAATAATCTAGGCTACATGCAGCTGCATGCATGAAATGCATCATATACTTTCCTATTGCTGGTCAAATAATTGAACTTCATGCTCGATTTCTGTCGCCGTTTCAGATTTGAATGAGAAGCAGCAGCTACTGACACAACAATCGGACCAGCCACTCTACCTCTGTCTGAAGGTGGGCAAGTCCAGCCATTGTCCTGGGTTGCTTAAAGGAGCTCAACCCAAGAGACACGGGCCTGAGTACTGGTTTGCTATCCCCAAGCGTAGGTACGGATTCATATTCAACGTTGTAGCTTTATGCATTCTAATAACAAGCTCGTTGTATCTACGTGGATGTAGTGCAGTGGATTTTCACTCCTTAACAGAAACCTCGAATGCTTGCTGGCGTTGATCAGGGTGAGTTTTTCGTCAGCAAACCGATTATATTTGTTGGAGCGCTAATGCATGTGTAGTATTGGAGAGCATGGCATTGCTTATTTGTTGCGTACAATTTGGCGATTGCATGAAATTGTGGCCGTTTTGATTATATTAAGTGAAGAAAGAAGCTTTGGTTCAGGCTGTTGTCTATATTGAGTTACGCAGAGATTGCATCTGCAGCTTTCAAGCTTGCATGAAGGCGAGTAAGAGCTTCAGTGAGACCGTTGGTAGTGATTGCAGGATCTGATTAGCCTGTGAGATCAAACGTCCGTAGCATGATTTCTATTCAACAGTAATTTTCGCTCACGCTATCGCCGCGTGGTCGACGATGATGACTATGTGCAAGAAATTGGCATCTGAACCACTAATCGTGTCGTGTGGAGAGTGCTTTAAAGGATACGCTGATAATTACTGACCTCCTACAACTACTATTCACCTCCGTATGCACACGTATGTGCACCAAGTGCTGCGTAATTGTGTGTACTTACAAACCATACATGCATCTCACACGTTTGCACACATGCTAAATACACATGAAGAGAACTATCTCTCCCTGCCCCCTCCCCCACCGCCACACACAATACTCACATCCCACAGTCAAAGAGACGTGGGACGGTGTGTGTATATATAATACAACCCCTTTCTTTCCCATCCGCACGCATTCACGGTTAGGCCTTTCAAATGTGCATTTGCAAGTAAGGCAGAGTGATTGTGGCAGGCACATTCAGCAACTGTCTAGCTCTTCACCCGCAAAAAAGAGCGATTTATTGACCACACATAGGTAAAGAATATCAGATAGAGTGCTATGCAAGGCTGGTGGTTGCCAATAACTGCGTGGAACCTATTGTGTCCCTCCTGTGAAATCTAGTAATAACTAGCAGCTATGGTGTGGCCACGCAGAAGTCTCTTGCAGAAGTATCGCAGGAATTTATTATCAGGAGTACATTAACATCATTAATCTACTCCTAATAAAATTACATTATGTTAATTCCCACTGTGTTACTTCCACCAATAATTAACATTAACATCGTTAATTTACTCTCGTTAATATGGATATCTGATTGCAAACCACCAACACCATGTGGTTACACCCTGTATAACCCCCCATATCTTCGATGTGATATGACGGATTCGTTTTAATGGAAGAGTTGCGTTAAGGTAGGGGCACACGAGCGATTTTTATCGCCCGATTGCCGCGAATTTGAAAATCGCTCGAAAAATTCGCCCGTGTGCCCGTTCACGTCGACGCCGATTTTAATCGCCCGCACGAATCGCCCGTATCCAAAATGTTAGATATTTTCGGGCGATTATTTACGCCGGCGATTATTTACGCCGGCGATTATTTACGCTGGCAAATTCGCTCGTGTGCCCGTGTCCGGCGTATTTTGTCGCCCGATCGATTTTTCTAAACCAATCGGACGTGTTGTTGATATCATGTGATGTTAAAATCGGGCGATTAAATTCGCTACGTGTGCCCCTTCGTGATCGGGCGATTAAATTCGCTGGCGATTTTAATCGCCGCGATCGGGCGATAAAATACGCTCGTGTGCCCCTAGCATTAGCACGCGAGTTTCTTTGTGTAGTGCCCTTATGCATTCCCGCAAGGCAAGCAAGGCCTCTGATGTTTCATTCCATGCCAACCCCGTACTGTAACATCACAGGAGTGACCGTACATGAATTTTACATGATTGGCATCACTGGAACGCTGCATGCACAGCTGCAGCGTTTCGGTAATTACTTCAACTACAGCTTCAGTACATGAGGAATAAACGTGCATATGTACTGCATGCAGGTCCCAGTCATCGTTAGCAAGCAAAATAAAAAGTTGCTAAGAAGGTCACGTAGTACTCGTAATAGTATTAGTAGTGTGTCATTAATTGGCTATATGATGTAATGGAGTATATATACAGGTGTTGAAAGGCAGTGGTTAAAAGATACTATATGTATCTAGTTGTGAACAGGGTTAAAACTGCGGCAAGTGTCACCAGATCAAGCAGGTGATGTGAGCAATGCTAAAATAGGTGATGTGCACCTTAGTATAAATACGCGTAATTGCTGTGGTGCTTTACCGTGGGATTGTTGTTAGGATTATAGTTGGGCTAGTAGTGATCAGGGTTAGTGGTATTTTCCGACGGGATGCAGGAAAACAAAGACTCTTTCTTAAGCATTGCAAAGTTCCTGGGTTGTTTGGATCAACCTACCCAGGGTACAGTGTGAGGGAGAACACCACATTACAAACAGTTTAACTATCCTACAGGTGGCTCTAGTTGTGCATTCTTATTTAAATCTTAGATCGTCTGCAATATTTATCCATGTCGTTTTTTCTAATGCATTTTCCAATTGTTCCGTTGCATTTTCAGCAACCTTTGTCAGATTATTTATTTTGCTTTAACATTTTCAGCATTAATATCAATTAAATACACCTTATTGCATAAAATAATAGCAATCGCATGATGACGTCAGCTGCAAACTCACCAAATAAGATGCAGACTATTAAAATCTTCCTTGATGAGCTTCGTCTTGCGGAGGCGCAAGCCTCGAAGCCCACGAAGTTGATATTATTTTACAGAAATGTCTAAATCTCATTCAATCGGCTTTGGCTTATTTACGGCCAGTTATCTAGCAGTACTTCATTTAGCAACAAAAACTTTGACATGCGATCCCATAATAGAGTCTCAAGACAGCAAAACAGCGTTATTCCGAGAGCTTTCCAGCTCATATTCACTGTTTTAAATGTACCGATGAAAATAAAGATTTCTACTACTACTACTACTACTACTACTACTACTACTACTACTACTACTACTACTACTACTACTACTACTACTACTACTACTACTACTACTACTACATCTACTACAGCGTGAGCGTTCGAGAGTGCAAATAACAAACTATTAGTAGCAAACTGTCGCGATCAAAGCCAATATCTCAGCTGTAACGGTACCATGCGCTATTTAAGCTAGAGCATATAGTAACACGGTGAACATAACATAACACGGTGTTGCAACAGTCGTGGGCTGAGCCAGACGCTGATAGGGTCTATGTCCCCCAGGGTACTGCCGGAACGTACCCTGGGTACGGTCCGGTATACCGGAACGTACCCTGGTACTAAATACTACTATCTAATATGCCGTACCTCGCCTACTTCACTAACGAGTCTAGGGAGTCGCCTACGCCTACTCCCTAACCCTAACCCTAACTCTAACCCTAACCCTAAACCTAACCCTAACCCTAACCATATCAGCTAGATAGTTACCAGGGTACGTTTCGGCAGTATCCTGGGGGACATAGACCCTATGAGCAGTACGGACTGTGGTAAATATGACGACAAAAATGTGACGATGTGTGTCTGACTTATCCACCAATATTATTGTATAAGAGTAATAAGTCAGGGAACAAACCCATCCTCGACGATCTGCGTCACTAGCTTAGCACGACAAGCACAAGACACCATTACATTGTTTATTGAGATGATGAAGATGATAAAATAAATGATATTATCAAGGGCTAAAGCCCACCCGAACTGTTAGTTCAGTTCACAATTTTTGCATTAAGCGGGGGACACACCATGCGAAATTCGCATGGTATAAGGGACTATAAGCATAGATATATACAACACATATATATGTGTTGTATATATCTATGGTATAAGCGTATAAGAAAGCGTGGCCGATGATAATCAGGGTGGGCTCAGGTCAGTGATACATGTACATAAACGTAATGTTATACATTGTATCACGCAAGCCAAGCAAGCAATTTTATTCTCTCATTACTTTAAATAGTACCCCCTTTTAATATGGGGGAACATAGGTACCGGGAAACATAGGTACCGGGACACATAGGTACCTCGATACTGGGACACATAGGTACCGGGACACATAGGTACCTGGGTACTGGGACACATAGGTACCGGGACACATAGGTATGGACCCCCGCACGCCGTGGAACGCGCTGCGCCATCGTCCACAACGTCGTCGTCGTCGACGATGGCGCAGCGCGTTCCACAGCGTGTGCGCATGCAAAATGCATCGATCTGTGGCGTGTGGAAAATATCACTCGTATGCGTTGCATGCGCACACGCTGTGGAACGCGCTGCGCCGTGTGGACGATGTGTGCGGCGGGCTTTATAATACATATATTATTACATGTATTACATATATTACATGTATTATTAGCTCTTGCTATTATCAGGAGTGTATGAAAGAGTATAATATATTCTCTATTATACACTCCGGATATTATGCATCCTGAATTTATTGTGTTTCCGGGGCCTGGTTGCGTTCATGCGGTAAACAGTCTATAATTTGGCTGGCTCGAAAGGCTTCCACCTGATGAAAAAGAGCCACCCTTCCTGGAATGCTCGCTACGTGTCTGCCTTAAGTTATTAGCCAGCAGGTGTCTGTTCTATAGAAAGAACTCACACGGTTCCGACTGTATATTAGCCTTTCGGTTTCCTATACAGTAATACCAAGGGACACAGACCCTTTTAACCTTAGTTAGATCACGTGCTTGATGTATTGACACACCACAGCTTCGACGCTATTCACAGCTACCTTGCTATAATATTTCATCTTTCTACCTCCTCCCTCGGTCGATCAATCTCTCGCTGTAATGGTAATTAATATCCTTATAGTGTAAATACCACCTACGGAGCGTATAGGTAGTTTCTAAACAAAGGGATATAATCCAGTAAGACGCCTTTATAAATGAGTGATAGAGGGGATTACAGTAAGTATATAGCTCCTAATGCAAGTATTGAAACCGGATATATCGACCTGTAGTTAGCAAATAGCACCCGAAAGTTCTGCTAGGTTGTTAAACCCAAAAATCATTATAGATCGTAATTGAACCGAATCTTGTGTAGCAGCTATAATCGTGTTTTGGTTTGCTTGCTTCTGTAGCGACGTAAAATAATGGCAGTGAAAGTTAATTGGACGACATAGGAAAACCTTCCCTACACCCCCCTTACACTTCCCCTATTTTATTTTAGGTTGCAAACTCGATTAACATAATTTATCGCCAGTCTTCACATATCAGAACTGAGTCAAATATGAGCTATGTGAGCAATGCTGTTGTACAGCGTAGTAAAACATAACATCGCGTTATCTCGTCCGTGATAATTAAGTCACACAATCAAAGGAAGCTAAATACTGGTCGCACATTGTTATTCGCATTGAACATTTGGCAAATCCTTTCGCAAGTAGACTTGCTCTGCATGGTTTCGCGGAAGCAGAGAATTCAGGTGAGACGTTATAAAGGTCGGACGTAGTTAATGCAGGTGCTCGCAACAAAAGTCATGCAGTCTTCGAATTTAGCCGGGCGTCCGACGCCCGAGGCGTGTGGGAATCTCGACAGGCATGTAAACATTGCAAGCTCATGCACTTGCCCGACGAGCTCCTGCTTTAAAAACGCATAAACTATAATACAACTGGCCATTAACTAAAGATTTTTAATGTAAAATCACGGAATGTTAAGACCGGAAATGAATGGTGTCTAGAAGTGGTATAGTGTACACTTCTTTACTCGATATTGCAAAATATTCCTGCAAAATTTATGGGCAACTAGAATGTCATTCGGTTCGGTCAACTAGAATTCACATTTTACAGAATATACTTGCCCAACGGGCAAGTGGCTCAAAATATTTTTCGTGGAGACTGAAAAATGTGTCATTCCGGTTGTCTTAGTATGGAAGAACATTCGTTGTTGTTAGCTCATCTGACATAGTCAGATGCAGCTTGTAGAATCGCATGATCGTCCGTCCGTGCGTCCGTCCGTCAACAGTTGGGCACAAATCTTAACCGCTCGACGTACGGTCACGATATTCGGGACGTGGGGGGTATCCGAAAACGAGTTGGGATGTCGAAGCTGGGGGTCAAAGGTCAAAGGTCAAGAGGTGTAAAAGAAGGGGGAACATTCACTCCTTAACTTAAGGTATAGGGAGGAAATGCAGAATTGCGGCACAAATCTAAACGGCTCGACCTAGGCTCGTGATAGTCGGTGTATAGCATCATGGTAGGAAAAACCATCATTGTGCCGAAATTGGAGGTCACAGGTCAAAGGTCAATGGGGCACAGGGCAGATTTTAGACATTTTCTGAGGACATGGTATGACGGAGCGATTGAAAAACTTTTTTGTTTCAGCGGTGACCTACCATTTTTATGGCTTTATTGAAAGGACCATGAAATGTGCTTTCCACTGACGTGTGAAGAGTAAGTGTCTGATAACCTTTTGACCCTCAAGAGGAGGGTTAAACATGGATTTGTTGACTGTTAACAAAGGAGTGAACTGCTTTTGCTATTAGAGCCCCCTCCCCCCACCCTCCCCCTTCCCCCTCCCTCCCCCCCCCTTCCCCCACCTAACTTCATAACTCACTGGCATCAAAAGATAAGGCCGTTAGAGACTCATGGCCGTTCATGTCTAAGTAGTAGAATTTCGATGCATTAAAATTCTTTGGGGATGATTTATTTACACACCATCTCTAGGATTCATAGAATATTATATGATATCTGATAAGAACCATTGCCGCTCTTCCATGAAACATGTGCTGCTTCCAAGAAAACAGTTATCCCGCGAGTACTATATATACTACCGGCGCAGGAAACAATGTTGTCATATTTTTTATTTTGTGTTGTAGTTTTATGTTTTTGTTTTTGTTAGTTTTAGTTGTAAGTTTTGTGTTGTAGTGTTATAGTTACAGTTATCTTGTTTTTTTTCTTCCCTGCTGGTAATTGGGCTAGCACCGATAATCGTTGAACGATACACGTAATATGTTTTCTAGTGTTCCAGCCACTAGTATGTATCTTATTTCCAAGGCAAGTGTTTGGAGGCAGCAATTTATAAGATTAGACAAATGCTAGCTGTTTCTTTGACCTAAGCAATGCTCACGAACATCTCTACACGACGGTTACAGCCCTATAGACCGAAGGTCCGATAGACCGAAGGCCCGATAGACCGAAGGTTTATTCAAATACGCAGTGGCTACACGTCCGGAATCGGTCGCCTAGCATCCGGACATCCACTGATGCCGTATTCGAACGTGAATATGCCGCACATCTACCGATGCCACTATAAATCATATGATGCCACTATAAACCATATATATGCTCTAACCCTAACCCTAACCCTATAACTATAACCCTAACCCTTTGCAATATTCAGTCTATCGGACCTTCGGTCTATAGGGCTGCCCCCTACACGACAAATCCACTCCCTTGGGTGGTGCTGGGTGATGTCACCAGGGTTTTACTTAGATCGGTCGTAATTGCTTTTATTGTAATTGGTTTCACCCCTCACGCCTGTTCCTGGAAAACCTGTATAAACACATTTTGTATTTGGGTGTCATCTGTTATAAACGTTTACGTATATATTTAATTTACCATAAATATTTATTAACTTTTACCCCGTTCTCTCGGCCCCATTGGTGTGTTTTGTCCTGCTATATCCTCCCTGGTATATCCATGCAAGCACTCCATGGCACCTGCTATGTGTACTTTATGATGAAAAGACGGGTGATGGTGCATGATCTGGTTGGCGTTCCGATTGGGAAAAATCTTCATGCCTGATGTGAACCGCTAGTGTACCTACAGCGGTAGACGGGTAGTACAGTACCGGTATACCGCTAGGAACCATTGTCAGAAGCTGCAGTAAACGTACCAGTATCACAGGCATGCAGACGCCGTATTCTAATTGAAGGTTGTTGCAATGTATCAGTTGCAGACGATAGACAAAATTAGACGGATACTCAGATAGACATATAGTTGATTAGACAGAAACCATTCGTATTTTCTATGTACGCCTTGTATATCACGTTCTCTTGAAAACATTGTTCTTGTAATTATGCCCACATTTAATAATGTCATCATTTTATCATGTCTTCGTTGTTATTATGTACTAATTGTTTTTACCTTATCAATGTTATTAGGTCATTATTGTTATACATGTATGTAATCATTGTTATTATGTCATCTTTGTTATTATATCATAATTGGCAGTATGTGCTCATTGTTGATATTGTTCCCTCAGTTTTCACGCACGCAGTGTCGTGACGGTGGCTTGCGTGCTACTTGCGCGTGGTCTTTCGTCATCACTGAACGATTCTCTATTGCTTGCAGAGTCGATCATTTGTACGCGTTCTTCATCCAATGGACGCCGAACATCTACGGTAACCAGCCTTCTGACAGACTGGCCATACAGGAGGGCTTTGTGGTCATTGACGACGACACCGGAGTGCTCACTGAGATCAGCATGGACGAGGAGCATTTTGCTGCACCCCGCATCGCGAAGGACTGGGAGGTATGACAGCGAGCGATGCCCACATGTGCAGTTTATACACCGGTTTCACATTGAGTTCTTAATGCCAGCGCTGCGTCGTATTCTTGGAACTGGCTCTGTGCTGTCTTCATGGAACTTGTGCTGCACTGAATTTTTGTTGATTGTACTGTGCTGAATTATTCGTGTTAGTGCTCCGCTGAACTATTGGTGCTATAACTACACAGAACTATTGGTACTAGAACTACACGGAATTATGAGTGTGCGTACAGCTCATAGGGTCTATGTCCCCCAGGGTACTGCCGGAACGTACCTTGTGTACGGTCCGGTATACCGGAACGTACCCTGGTCACTATTTGATATGGTTATAGGGTTAGGATTAGGGTTAGGGTTCGGGTTCGAGTTCGGGTTAGGGTTAGGGAGTAGGCGTAGGCGACTCCCTAGACTCGTTAGTGGAGTAGGCGAGGTACGGTCCGGCATATTAGATAGTACCAGGTTACGCTCCGGTATACCGGACCGTACCCAGGTTACGCTCCGGTATACCGGACCGTACCCAGGGTACGTTCCGGCAGTACCCCGGGGGACATAGACCCTCTCAGCGTTAGGCTCGCACATGATTATTTATGTTGGTGTTGCATTGCATGTACTACTGCATTGTCAGTAATGGTAGACTGTGTGTCGATGTATAACTATAACGTTGTGGTTTTTGCTTGTGACAGATCATCACGGTAGAGGAGGCGCGGCGGCGCATGTCTGCGTTAGAGGTTGAGCTTAACCTGCCCATCCCTGAACTGATTGGACCAACAGAGATTCTCAATGAGTCCAGCATACGAAAGGTGCGAGAGCTCGCGTGAACGTTAAGCCGTGCTTATGTCGGCCTTGCGACTGATTTTCTGCAGCTGGTTGCAAGCCGCCAGCGACGATCGCGTCGCAGAGAAAGTTCGACCTAAAGGTAGTATCTCACTGGGCTGCGACTATTGGCGACAAATTGCGAACGGCATTCACGAGGGAGATTCCAAAATGTCTCGAAACGTTCGCAGGGGTTCTCAATTTCCTCGCGTGAGTCGCAGGGCCTCGCTCTCGTGTCGCTGGAATTTTGAACATGTTTAAAAAATTTGCGCGACAAATTTTCTCTCAAAATAGTCACAGAGTCGTCGCGGGTGTCCCGAACCCTTCTCAATTTAGTTTGCGTGAGTCAGAAAGTGCGAGAAATGTGAAACAACTTTGTGAGGGGTTGGCGACCTATGAAACTATGTGAGCCTGGTCCTCATCCAGGTTGGGGTCCTCATCCAGCAGCTTCTGCACTTCTTCTCTGAGGTCCATCTCGCTTGACGTCTGATGACAAAATGATTGCTGGACTGGGGAGGGGCCCCGTATTTATATGGTCCAGATTTCTCAATTGTCACGCATAACTGTCGCACGACATTCAAGTGACACTCGTGCGACAGTCGCAAGTGCAAAAAATTCGCAATTTAACAATTTCGACATGTAACATTCGTGCGACATACGCGAACGTGTCTTAAGTACCAATTCAGTGTGATTTCAAGTGAAAATTGTTGCTAATTCGCGTATTTTCTCGCAATTTTGTGTCTGCAACTAGTCGCGAGCTTTTGCAGCCCAGTGAGATACTACCTTAAGCACCCCTGCGGCTGCCAGCGACGGCTCTGCGACTGGAAAATTGTCAGTTGCAGCGCAGTCGCAGAGAGTTGCACATGTTCTACTCTTGCGACGCGACACGACGCGACTGGTTCCACCGGTCGCAAGCATTGTTTTTCATGGTTACTACCCGACATAAGCTGCCTTGCGATCACTGCGACGAGATTCATATGCATAATGAACAATGCACGCGAATGGCGCTGTCAGTCGCGTCGCCGTTGACCTAAGTACTCAGTCGCAGTGAGTTGCAGTGCGTCGCGTCGCGTAGCATTCAATCGCAACCCGACCTAAGCCCGGCTTTACTCTCACGTTCCTGTTAATGATGACTACTGTAGCTTCTGTCCTTGAAAAGTTTTGGTTTCATTACTTGTGATCTCACCAAGGGTAGCAGTGGTTGCCCCCTCACACTCCACACTCGCCGAGATTTTAATCCCACGCTTAGATGTGTTAGCTACTGTTTATGTCATGGACATAGATATCGATCAGGCTAAGCCGGGTTGGGGCTGGTTTGCACAGAGACTCAAACTTCAATCTGAAGACTGAAAGAATAAATAATTTACAGTTTACGCAGCTGCACGTTTCCCTACGCCAGTTGGAACGTACTGCGTGCATGTCTAGAGAGCATTAAGTGTGGAATATGCCATGTGTCTGCATTGAACCCTGTCACATCGACTGCACAGCGTGAACGCTCAGAGTGAAGTGGCAGGTCTCAAGAAGCACAAGCTAGCAAATTTACTGCAGTTTTATTGCTCCGAAATATAGACGTCATAGGTCCATAAACGTCAGAAACATGCATGTGCATGTCACAGAGCGCCTTCATACAATATAGCGCTTAACATTAAATAATACCTAGCGCAAATTGCTTGACAGGCTTAATAATATAGCACAGTAGTAACGCTCACGACAGTGGCACATTCTTGACAATTGGTTTACAGTTATTCATACCACGTGCCTGCTATATACATTGCTACCGAAATATCAGAGATAAAATGCAGTGAACGAAACGTCATGGGACATACAGACTGAGTTTAGGCAGAGTATGCCAGCTTTAATTTGTATGTTGCTTGATTACTCGGTGAGTAGCGTGAAGGCTATATGTGTATACGATCCGTAATGCATTTAGTACGGTGCCTCTCTGGGAGCAATTCTTGGATACAAACTAATATGGCAAGCGCAAACTTTGCTCATCAGAGTAGGAGCAGCCATCTTACAAGGAGCTGGAGCTGCTGAACGGTCAATTATCGTTGAATCGTTCGGGTGACATGCGCTTGTTTGTCTTCATCCAGAAATATAGACTAGAGAGTAGTGGTGTTTGTCTTTAGGCAGGAGATGGATCGTGGGACATGTTGCAAGCAGTGTTCGCTGCATGGAGACAACACTGCCTCGCAGCCACGGCTGAGTGGCTGGCTGTGTGGTGTGAGTGTGTGTGGTAACTAGGCCGGCAATGCGATAGATTCATGTGTAATATCTGTAGCGCTGAGTGCGCGGCGCGGAGCGACTGACCTGTTCCCTCGCTGTCGAAACCGCACGGTCGATAACACGCACGCCTTGCGATATTCGGGAGGTGAAGCGGTGGACGTGCGTGCGCGCGTGCGTGTGTGCGTGTTGGCTTTATATGTTTGTGCGTGTGCGTTCGCGTACGTACGTGCGTGTGCGTGAGCGCGCGTGCCTATATGTGTGTCTGCAGTGGCGTAGACAGGTCCTCAGTTGTGGGGGGGATGATTTCGCTGTTACCTCCATCATAATGTATATGAAGACTGTGTGCGAGTAGCGCACACCGCGAGAGCCTTGGCGCATTGCCCGGGGTCCAGGGGGCGGAGCCCCCTGAAGCTCTTGGATTTTAGCAATTTAGAACCTTCAAGATGGTCGTTTTTGAGGTAATTGAAAAAAATTGATATTGTAAGTGCAATTTTGTGAATTCGAGGGTAATTTTTTTCTTTGGATCCCAGAGGTTTAATAACACGCACCCCCCCCCCCCCACACACACACAACCAGTGGCGGATCCAGAAGTGAATTCTAGGGGAGGGGGGGGGGCGAATCATGCGAGCTCAAGGGCACGAAGCGCGCACTGTGTGGAATTGTTAAAAAGTTGCAATCT